TCTTCATTGTATAAAAGATGAAATTTAGGGTAAAATAGGTTGAAGTGACTTTCTCAAGAATGCTCAGTAGTAAGTGGTGAAGCTGGAATTCTGACTGCAGATCCTGAGTTCTGAAACCCTAGATCTGTGTCACAAATTAGATATTTTTATTCTGTTAATTGCTATAAAGCTGTATTGGAAATGATCATGTGGTATTTTATATATAAATGTATTCACTCTTGATTTATTGATATAAAAAAGAAAGTGGCAACAAATCATTCCAAATCATGGTAGTAACAGAACTAAAGGTCAACTCTGTCTTTTGGATTAACAGTGATTTAACAAAATGCAAACTCATGGGAATTACCTTTGTGTGAACATATACCCCTAGCTAACGGAGGAGACACTAACTTTTCAGGCAGAGCCATGGTTAGAGGGGTTGAATTAACTAATCTCTGGGTATTTCACTGGATTCAAACTACATAAAGGTCTTTTTTACATTAGCACCCAGCATCAGCAATCAAAGATCAGAAACTTTATTACTCAGGTCTCTCTTTGGCCCTGTTAAAGAAAAAAATTGCTCACGATACTTGTTAAAAATGGTAAGACAGACTTTATTGAAAGAGGACCATGGAGATAGGTATAGGGACCACGACAAGGGGGTTCTACAGTGGGGAGAAAGATTGGACTCAACTCTGAGTCCAAGAGGGACAAGGGGGGAATTATAACCAAGGAGTAGCCTGGGGGTAGAGGGGACTGCAGATGGAAAATTACAGGAAACCTCAAGGATTAGTGATTTCTGGCTAAGGTGATTTGATAGGAATATTGCTGAAGACAGGCCAGGGTGCTAATATATTGAGGGTGGTCAGATAACAAGGAGGGGGTAATTTCCATTAAACTGACTTGGCAGAATTTTTGCTCAAACTGAATTCTACAGATGGTCCCCAACTTATAATGGTTCAACTTTATGATTGAGCAAAGGGAATACATATTCAGTAGAAACTGTACTTTGAATTTTCATCTTTTGATATTCTCTCCTGATGCTAGGCAGTGGGAGTGAGCTAACTATATATTACCTAATTGTAGGTTAAGGTAAGTATTCTTAGCACATTTAAGGTAGGGTAGGCTAAGCCAGGATATTTGGCAGGTTAAGTGTAGTAAATGTATTTTGACTTATGATATTTTCAACTTACAACAGGTTGTAACTCCATTGTAAACCGATGAGCATCTGTACAAGAACAGAGAGGAAAGCCCAAGTTTGGGCTTAGTCAAGTAGAGAACTTTGAGGACCTTGACTAAAGTTTTGGTCAGCCCTATCCAAGGTTACTGTCATTGAGAGGAGATTGTTTATGTATATATCATAATGATTTTACTACACTCTAAGGACCCTGGGACACGGACTGTGAGATAGTCATTTTTGTGTCCCCATCACCATAGCAGTACCACCTAACAATTAGTAGCAGGCCTTGTGGCAAACTCTACCCTCAACTGTACTCAACAAAATGAAACAAAAAGAAATAAATCTTTATTAAGCTTCTAAAAACATTTTCATAGAAAGCAGAATTAAAATCATCCTGCCACTTCTTTTTATCTCTGTGGGCTTTTCAAGACCTAAACTCTTTGGGTCTCATCATCTTTATCTGATGTTTATTTTTTCATTTTTAGAAAAACTATTTGCTATAGGTAAATCTATCTTTCTGACTGGATGTATGACACACAGGAGAATATGTTATCCCTAAGTGGGACGAACTAGTAAAGGCTTTTGGAATCAATGTAAATTTTGTCCTCAAATGAAATTTTGAAAGTCCTAATAATTAAAAAATTGTAAATTTTGTGTTAATGATAGCTTATTGTAAGGCTCCCTATAGGCATTAATGAAGACGGGAATCTCAAGGAAACCCTAAAACTACAAGATATTTGGTTTCAGAGATGGAAATAGAGGAAGAGGTTTGACTAATTATCAACTGAAGGGTAAGGAAAATAGCACAGGGAAAGAACAGACAAGGTCACAAGGGACAGAACAGTAAGGACCAACACACAACCACTGCTTCTAGTTTTCCAACCATGTTCCAATCTCCGTGATTTTTGGTAGTGCTCCAAGAGCACTCCCTCCTTAAAGGAGCCAGAAATACTTCTGCTTTAAGACCTTAATGCTTCTCTCTGATATCCCTCCAGTTGACTGATGGGCCTACTACTCCCTCAACCCTTTCAAGCCTTTGCACAAATGTCAACTTCTCAGTGAAGCCCTTATTTAAAAACTGACACCCTCCCAAGCGCCTTTTCCACTTCTGATAACCCCACGTAAATTTAGTCAGCCAGCTCTATACTCTCAATTTACGCCCCTTTTGGACAACCTTGCCTAGCTCTTCTTTAAAATATTGCCTGGAAAGGACGGAGCTTTAGCCCAGGCCCACAGAAATGAAAGAGCACTCCGCTGGCTCCGCCCACTTGCGTGGCAGGTGCCAGTCCTAGGAACGCAAGAGATAGTCTCCTCCTAGTGCGCTCCGGAAATGCGACTGCGGACGGGCTCCCCACGTGATCGTGACGTCAGGCATCCGCGCCAGCTGGAGGCCCTACGCTTCCGCGAGCTCCTGGTCGGGGGTCTAGGTGCTTCACGCTGCGGTGTTGTTGGTTTTGGGGTCTTTTTCTGTAGGATCTCGGGGCCTGGTCTTGGACTCCACGATGTACCACAACAGTAGCCAGAAGCGGCACTGGACTTTCTCCAGTGAGGAGCAGCTGGCACGACTGCGGGCCGACGCCAACCGTAAATTCAAATGCAAAGCAGTGGCGAACGGGAAGGTGAGGTAACTGGCGGCTGCCCACTTGCCGCGGTGTCTAAATTCTGAGCTGCTGCGGGAGCTCCTCTGGCTTCCAGCACAATTTCACTCCTCCCGCCTCTGCTTCCGCGGCGCACAGTGCGTTAATCTATTAAAATAGGGGATCACTTTGCCAGGTTCTGTGGGTACAGAGGCAAACTGCGCCATCCCCGTAGTTGAATGGGAGACAGCTGTAACCGGTCTTCAAGGCGAAGAGATTTTGTAGGATGCCAAGGTAGTTCCGGGCAAGAGCCATTCACTTCTCAAGCGCTGATGTCGGGGAAGCTTTTTGCCAGTAGCTGATGGTGAGGAAGAGGCGAAAAGAGCGTTCCAGGCACACAGCCCCATATGCAAAGTGGGAGGTAACAAGTTACAAGGCTGGTACATGGAATGCTCGTAGTCGTGTGTGGCTGGAGTACCTGTGCAGGAATGGCTTGGGGGGATAGGAAGGGAACTTGTAAGCGGAAGGAAGGAGGTAGAAATTTATACTGAAAGGATAGGGAACCTTCGGAAGATTTAAAGTGGTAAATTAGCAGATTTCCGCCCTAGAAAGAGCCCTTTGGCAACATGCTGGTGAATGGGTTGGATGAGGGAGGGAGACGAGATTGTTGGCACAAACCAGTTGAGTGAAGATGGTTTGTACTGTGGCCCTCTAGCCAAGCCCTTTCTGTTACAGCTCCCATCCTGGCTCAAACTTCCTTACAAGGTCCACCACCATTCTCCCACTGGTTTCACTTCAGCAAGTGTTCCATGTCTCCAATTGTTGCTACTGAGCTGCTTTTACTTTTAATTCACATTTCATATCACAGATTTTAGCACCTGTATTAGTTTCCTAGGGCTGCATTAAAACAGAATTACAAACTGTATACCTTAAAATAGCAGAAATTTGTTGAGACATTTGCTGTTTTTTTACCTCAACTTTTGTGACATAATGATTGGCCCAGAAAGGGATGTTGGAAGCTTTCCGACCGTCAGAAATGTCTATCTTCTTTTAAATTTATCAATAATGACATCAAACTTCTGAGCATGTGCATTCACTTTGTCATGATTGTTTCTACCTTAATTAGGCAAATGTCCACCTGACATGCTGAGAAGTTGTGAAATGAGGGTACAGGTTTCATTTGTTAAATGTTTTCCTAAAGCTGTTTGTTATAATGATTAGCAAATCTCTAAAGAGAAAATGAGGCATGCTATATTTCCCTTGGGAAATATAAACTAAATTTAATCTGGACAGAGAAAAATGTATTATGATTGTTTAATTCACTGAAATTGTGTTGTAATTTTGATTTAAAGGTTCTTCCAAATGATCCAGTCTTCCTTGAGCCTCATGAAGAAATGACCCTCTGCAAATACTATGAGAAAAGATTATTGGAATTCTGTTCTGTTTTTAAGCCAGCAATGCCAAGGTCTGTCGTGGTAAGTTATGGTAGTGATGAACTATAATGTCCTTTAGCTGGCTTATGAAATCTGTCTTCTTATAAATTTTTAATTTAATTCACTATTCTACTCTCAAAAATTCACCTTAGTTATTATATTTGTTCAGTTTTTGTCACGTTATGTATTTTTCAATAAAGGCCTTAAATAACAAGTTACTATATCATATCTTAAAAATTATTTCAATTCTCATTTCGCAGTCAAAAGAATTGAGGTCTGCCGGACATGTTGTAACATCCTCATTTAATAGAGAAAGAAAAATTAAATTACTTTTCCCTCCAAGTTCTCAACTAGTGAGCAATAGAACTGGGACTAAAACATAGACAAGTACTTTTTCAACTCTATGACACACAATACATGTTCGAAATAATATATTCATCAGTTGTAATCATATGCCCCAGCTGAAGTTGATGCCACAAGATTTTTTTAAACTTTGATTAGTAGAAGCTGGAGATTATCTTTGGTTAAAAAGATTGACGGTTTTTTTAGATGTATGGTTCTGAGAACCTGTTTGTTTTTGCTGGGGTGGGCAATGGTGAGGAGAAATAGGTAGCTGAGATTAAAAAATTGAAAGATAAAACTAGAGTGGGAGGGTGTGTAAAATATTTTTACCTTATTATCTCACAGGTTTATTGTCAAGATCAAGTAAAAGTCTGTCTTAAGTGCAAGTCTATGTTTTAAAGTTATACAGAGTGACTAGCTTATGACCCAATGGAGAATAACCCTGTAGGATATCTCCATTTTTATAGTTGAAAAAAATTGAAGTATATTGACAATATTGTCTATAGGTATTTGTTTACTTTTTTTTAGTTTACTAGACTTCTATCTGAAAGATCAAAGATTCATAAA